AGAGCGCCGAACCGGAATCGCAGGGCCGTAGGTTCGATTCCTACCAGAGGGCCTTGTGCTGCATTTTTCGCAGTTGTTCCTGGTTAGGTCTTAAAATGTATATATTCTCACTTGGATTCATTCTAATATTAATTCCACCAAGTGAAGTGCAGAATCTAAGTCATGAAGTCCACCTTATCACAACCCGCACACCCGATTACCTATATATACATGAACTTACGGTTACAGCTTAACAGCTGGCCTCTGTAGCTCAGTTGGTTAGAGCGCTGCACCGGAATCGCAGGGCCGTAGGTTCAATTCCTACCAGAGGACCTTGTGCTGTATTTTTCGCAGTCGTTCCTTGTTAGGTCTTAAAATGTATATATTCTCACTTGGATTACAAACCCTAACATTCTAATATTAATTCCACCAAGTGAAGTGCAAGAATCCAAATTATTGAAGTCCACCCTATCACAACCCGCACACCCGATTACCTAAATATACATGAACTTACGGTTAAAGCTCAACAGCTGGCCTCTGTAGCTCAGTTGGTTAGAGCGCTGCAACGGAATCGCAGGGCCGTAGGTTCAATTCCTACCAGAGGACCTTGTGCTGCATTTTTCGCAGTCGTTCCTGGTTAGGTCTTAAAATGTATATATTCTCACTTGGATTCCAAACCCTACCATTCTAATATTAATTCCACCAAGTGAAGTGCAGAATCTAAGTCATGAAGTCCACCTTATCACAACCCGCACACCCGATTACCTATATATACATGAACTTACGGTTACAGCTTAACAGCTGGCCTCTGTAGCTCAGTTGGTTAGAGTGCTGCACCGGAATCGAAGGGCCGTAGGTTCGATTCCTACCAGAGGACGTTGTGCTGCATTTTTCGCAGTCGTTCCTGGTTAGGTCTTAAAATGTATATATTCTCACTTGGATTCCAAACCCTAACATTCTAATATTAAGTATAACATACCAACATACAGTAATATTTTGAAAAATCAAAATATATGCTGCCTCGCAACAAACTCTCCTAAAAATAAGCTCACTATAAGCACACAAATATTATTCAAATTTACAGTATACTGCATCATAAGAAAAATAATTAAAATACAAAATTGGAAACATGAATTTCCATAGCCTGGTACAAGTGATTCAGGGAGACTGCATAAAAACATAATACATGATATACATATAACTATACGATCTTATTTAACCCATTAAGCACCAGGGCTCTCCCCTTTACGAGTAGAATAGGCGTTCGACAGAGTAGAGTAATAAAGTTCAAAATCATTTTGTTTGAATTACTTCACCTATCTATTTGTTTAAAATTATGTGTGGTAGATTCTGTGGTATGAACACTTGCAAAATTACTCAAAAAATTTTAAATATGTGACATTACACAATATATGCGTTCAGTGCTGGCCAATTGCTAATAGTTCATGTTAAATCAATGTTTGGAAAATATAGGCAAGGGGTTGCTGCATGCATTTATTTCTACTTAAATATTAATTGGACATGCTCATGTCACTAGTGGTATTCATTATATTTTGGTCAGACAAAACAAATTCCACAACCCACAGGTTAAAATAGACATCTTGTGAATTATATCACAAACGATTAATAATTTTTTGCTGCAGCAAGCACAGATTCACCAGAAACATGTAACCTCATGAGTTTACACACCCCAAAACAACACTTTCCTAAAATGATAGCTTTCCTTCATCATTTAATTTTATAACTGGACTTAGCTGATCTGTTCTTATAGTTTTTATATTTTTAGACTTTTTGTTATTCAAGTTTGAAACGAGACCAAGATTGGTAGCGTTTAATTTTCCAAATCCACTAAGTTTCAATGGACATAGCATCTCCCTATTTGAAATAAGCCATAAGGCATTATATTTGGTATTTTAATTAATATCTTAATTATTACAGAAATGATTGCACAAGTCATGCGTTTTGACAAATGCTGATCTATATTTTCAATATTAACCCCATTAAGCACCAGCGTTCTCCTCTCAAGACAGAGTAAAAAAAATAAAGTAGGTCGCAATGCGTTAACTATAAACACGGGCAAATAGGCCAGTTAAACCCATTAAGCACCAGCGCCCTTACCTTGACAAGTAAAATCATCTGGGGCCGGTTGTATCAAAGGCGTTTAACTTAAACGGTGTTTAGCCGCTATCCAGCGTATAAATTTCTTATCCAGCGGATAGTTAAACGGCCGATAAAATTGCGTTGTATGAAGCCCGTTTAGTACCGCGTTTAACTATCCGTAGGATAACCTTTAATTTAACAGGAGAAAACCGGATTTTCTTGAAATTTCTTACCTCTACGTCAGCTGTTGCTAGGCCATTGAATTCCACTAAGCTTTTGCAATATAAAGTTTATTGTTGTTTTTATTTGGAGTTTGCTCGTCCATTCGTTGCTGCAAATCTATATCAAACTTTTCATTTTCACATTGTGCTGAGTTTCTCATTCACTTAAATTCACTTACGGATATTTCTTTAAAGATTTTTGGCTTCTTTAAGCGAAGAGTCGAAGGCAATAGCAAAAACTGTGAGTTGTATGTGGCTTTTGTCAGTTGATTCAGTTTTATACTGTTTGAAATTTGTTCCTCGACCTTGCACTTTTGTACAAAACAATTTTAAGAACATTTTGAACCACGTTTTGATTGGCTGATCAAAGCGATTAACGCGAGCGAACAATTTTTTTTCGACTTTCGGCGTCTTGTTGTCTATTTTGTATACTTGTTGGCTTTCCAAAGTCATTGTTTGTTTTACAATAGCTAAAACTGCGAGTCTTACTGCTTGTTTTCAAACTATATAATAGAAGAAAAGAAGAAGAAAAAGCCAGAGTATATATACTTAACATCTAAACATGACACTGGTGTGCGTATTAAAATATAGCAAAGCCACGGAATTACAAGTGAGCAAGTGACCTCAGTGTACCTCAAGACCAAGCCAGTTAAAAGTGAGTTTTTCATGTTTATTGGATTTAAAAAGATAACTCCTCCACATGATTGTGCATTTTTATAACTATCCCATGCTTTTTCATCCGAAATAATCATTGTTTTATCTTCAAACTCCGAGTTTATCCGCCGTATAGCGATTTAAACGGTCGCAATAGACCGTATAAGTTTACACGGTGGATAGGCAAAATTTAACCGGTGGATAGCGCTAAACGGGCTTGATACAACGCGATTTCTCGAGCGTTTAAATTTTATCCGGCGGATAGCGAGTTAAACGGTGGTTAGCGAGTTAAACGCCTTTGATACAACCGGCCCCTGGTGTTAGACAGAGTAAAATAATAAATTAGGGCAGAATGCGACTCAATGTGTTAACAACACACATGGGCAGATAGGCCAGTTAACCCCATTAAGCACCAGTGCTCTCCCCTTAATGAGTGAAATCATCTGGCGTTAGACAGAGTAAAATAATAAATTAGGGCACAATGCAACTCAATGTGTCAACAACACACATGGGCAGATAGGCTAGTTAACACATTAAGCGCCAGCGCTCTGCCCTTAATATTGTCGTGCGATAGGCAGAGTAAAATAATAAATTAGGCCGCATTAGGGCACAATGCGACTCAATGGGTTAACTATGTACACATGGGCAGGTAGGCTAGTTAACACATTAACCGCCAGTGCTCTCCCCTTGATGAGTAAAATTGCTAGCGTTAGATAGCCAGAGTAAAATAATAAATACTTAGTGCGCATCAGGGCGCAATGCGACTCAACGGGTTATTAACATCAACAATGTTTCAAATGTCAAATCTGCCATGCTCAATATAATCATAGATTCGACTATTAATTTGACATGTAAGTCAGATGTCCTGTATACAACAACATCAATATACAGTATACTATTAATTAATTAATCAATCAGCCACAAAATTGTCAATCGTGTATTATTCTCGGCCTAATAGCTAAACCTATTAATCCTAGATTGGTGTTTAGTTTGGCTTTTGCTGCTACTGAAACGACTTTTATATAATTATGTGATTACAGCTCGGAATTACAGTGGGTTCTGCATATAAAGATTTTCTCTGGATTCGATGTTTCACTATTTAGTATCGAGTAAAATCAACAAATAATTATGGGTCAAACGAGGATGAGAGTATTTTAAAGTTGAAACATAGTTGCAGAACACTCATCAAAGCTTTAATAATATTTTGTTCATCTGGAACTTGAAATGTCCTTTGTGTATTGATAAGCATTCATGCATGACTTTCATGCATGATTTGACAGAGGCTATTTAAATCTAAAATACCAGTTTAAAAACTTACATTATCAAATGAACCAGTGTTGCCAGTATGCCTGATTCAGGAGATGATTCTTGATTGGGCAAAGTTAAACTAGACTGGGCTACTAGCAAGTGATATGTCGCAGGATTTGAGCTAGTAGTGAACTGGATATTTCAATGTTGTGTGCACTTTTTTCATCGTCGCTGTCACTTTCAACTAGAACCTACATATACAAAAAATAAATAATTTTACATTCGTATCGTAAACGTGAAGCTATAAGAACATATTTTGAATAATTGATGTCCGCTGTCGTGATTTTGCCATCAGCAAACAACAGTCGTCGACACGAAGGTGAAGAAAGTAAATAACATTTGCCAGAATTAGGCTAGTACAGCACGAGACGTTTCTTGAACGTATTTTCCTAATAAATTGTTTATTTGTTCAAAATATACTGCAGCGAACGAGGTTTTACGCTTGTATTTTATCCGTATCCCTCGTCGAAGCAAATCCCAACGGCCAACGTTCGATAATGGCGCCAAAAGTTAGTACGCATGCTCGAGAATGATCGCAAACCCGATTGCTTACGGGCGCGTGCATTCTCGTTCCCAGTTCCCGCGATCATTAATATTAATATTACACATAGGCCTTATTCTATGATTACACGTTCAATTCTCGTGATTAATTTTTACAAATACCGTATTTATATTTACGATAATATTACTAAAAATCTGGAAAACAAATTTCAATACCCTACAAAATGAAACATCAAATCTCACCTTGTATAAATTAATCCAAAAAACGTCCTCTTCTTTTTCTTTGCAAGCATGTGCATTCTTTAGGACTTTAAGTTTTATGCGGAAGTTAATTTGATACGATCATACGATGAACGATCGACACAATTAAGAGTCGATTTGACGGAAGGGTCGATTTGACACAACATTAATTGTCGATTTGACACAATTAAGAGTCGATTTGACAGAAGAGTCGAATTGACACATTTACGAGTCGATTTGACAGAAGGGTTGATTTGACACATTTAAGAGTCGATTTGACAGAAGGGTCGATTTGACACAATTAAGAGTCGATTT